GGTTGGAGGCCCTTGATACTACAGGTTGGAGGCCATCGCTACTAGGTGAAAGCCATCGCGAATAGGTTGGAGGCCATCCCTACTAGGTCGGAGGCCACCGCCATTAGGAGGCCATCGCTATTAGGTTGGAGGCCATTGCTACTGAGTAGGTTGCATCGCTGGAGGCCATTGCTACTAGGTTGGAGGCCATTGGTATCAGGTTGGAGGCCCTTGATACTATAGGTTGGAGGCCATCGCTACTAGGTTGGAGGCCATTGCGACTAGGTTGAAGGCCATCGCGGTAGTAGGTTGGCCATCGCTATTGGGCTGGAGGTCATGGCTACCAAATTGGAGGCCATCGCTACTAGGCTGGAGGCCATTGCTACTAGGTTGGAGGCCCTTGCTACTAGGTTGGAGGTCATTGCTAGCAGGTTGGAGGGTTCTGTGCGGCTCTGGTTTCTCAGAATTTCTCAGACCTTGGCCACGAAACGGCCTGCACATAGGTGTTTGATACTCTGCAGAGTGGCTTTATGCTTCGGATTGGTACGATTTCATGGGGCGATGATACAAACCAACTCATAGATTCTAAAGTACACTGCATCCAAGAGTGCCGACCAAGCCGGGCTACACAATCCGGAAAGTGATGACCTTGTCCTGTCCCGTTGGTGGCTGGCAGTGCACGTTAAAACGCAGCTTATCCATTCTTCTTCTCCAGCTTCGAAGCCGTTCCAGGTTTGCAAAACCACGGCCCATGCACGCCGTGCCGTGCCAAAGGGAATCAGTATGATGTAAAGGATGAGTAGGCTAAGTGTATCCACAATTGTCTATATATGCGTGTGCACCGACTAGTAGCCCAACGAATCCTTCTCCATAGGCATTGTGTTTTTTGTTCTTGTGTTTGTGTCTAAGCCTCTAGCCGCTAGAGAACTTCCGCTATGTTCTCCAGACTGCAGTCTTAAAAGTCTCTGAAAATCGTCATTGAGTCAAGTCGTTTCCGTTGACTCGAGAGCCGAGAGCGGAGACAAACACTCTACCACAGACCACCTCAGTGCCAACATGGTCTCTCAAACTCTCAAACTCCAAGCCAGAACACTGCGCAACAATCAAATGACTTGCATCTTAAACCCCGGGGCCGGAGATACTATATTTACACCATGTTTTGGGAATTGCAGGTGGTCAGGTCCAGGTGGTTCAGAATGCCTTCCATCAAAAGTAGGCAAACTTTGAGCACCAATCACATGTCGCCCACCAGGCTTCAAACAAAAGCTCTCCCAAGTTGCATATATAGTGCGGCTGCTTGCGTAGACGAACAAAACTTGGCAGGAAACAATCTGCGTAGTCTGAAACTTGATTCTTAGGAACCTGATCACCCCTGTGTTCTTACTACACATGGCTTCGCACGACTGCCTGTGGGATCCATGTATGTCAGTACGTTTCACTGCCTGTTTCACTCAAAATGCATGGACGATTCGGTCGTATCATGTCGCATCCCCAAACCAACCACACACCAACGCGCGCCATCCTTTTCTGTCACATTCCGAGGGACCTTGGCCAGGACAAATGGACAAATCGGTGAATAAATTATTTGTACTATATGCATATGTATGTATGTATGTATGTATGTATGTGTATTTTTTTCTCCTAAAGTTGTTTCTCGAGGGCCGTTTTGGCCAGTCTGTGGCGGGGTCAGTCAGCTCAGTAGTTCTTCACCCCGTTGCCCGTTAGCTGCAGCCTGGTGCCCTAGAAGAAGTCCACCTCAAAGCCGGCGTCAGGAGCCGAGTCTTCTTCGGAGGCTGTCATTTCTTGGTCAGTGGGGCTTGGCGTGGTTCCTGACTCCCTTTCATCAAAGGATGTTGGGAAGTGCAGCCTGCGTGGAGTGGGTCTAGTGCTGACTGCCTGTGCGTGGGCCTCAGTTGGCCGTTGTGCATCTGCTTCTGCTTGGCCTTGGCCGTCACTCTTCTTTTTGAAGTACTCGCTCAGGGGCGGGGAGCCTTTGGTGCCGGCTCCTTTGCAGACTTTGGTCAGGTTTTGGTTGGTGATGATGCGCTGCTCACCATCGAGGTTCCACTGGCAGCCGCATTGGGTGCACTTCACCTTTTCCCCTTTTTGCCAGAGGCTGTGGCTTGGGTGTGCTTGTGGTGGCTGCGGAAAGGGCTGATCGATGCACTTGGAGTTGATGAAGTGCTGGAAGGCCTCTTCATTGACTCTTTTGTGGGTGTTGACCCCGCATTTGAGGCATTTGAGGTAGCCAGTGGTCTCAGCAAACTGGTGCGCTGAAGGGTCTGGTGCCTGTTGCTGCTGGTGAAGCAGAAGGGCCTTGATGACTTGGGCCCTTGTGGTCTTTTTGACCAGAGGTTCTGCTTTGGACGGCGTGGCGTGAGCATCTTCAATGAGGACTTGAGGGCAGTCTTCATGGAGGCGCTCTTCCAGGATGCTTTTGGTCAGTCCTTGGTGCATTCGGGTGCCACAGGCCGTACATTGATAGCCGCTTCGATGGGGTTCCCACCTGTGGTGGTTGTCAGTCCAGCTTTTGGCACATTGCTTCACCAGGTCACGCTTGTACTGCTTGGTGTGTTTCCCTTGGTGTCGGGGTGCTTTCTGATGAATGAAGTGCTGTGGATCTTCATAGATTTTGGCCAAACGTTGCACAGCATGGGTGTAGATCAGTTTATGGTCCGTGTCCAAGACCTTTTGCCATTCCTCCTGCTTGTGGTCCTGGAATTGCTTGCCTCTTTCCCATGCCGTCAGGGCTGAATCCCGCAGGCGGCGCCTGAGCTGTGGCTCGTTGCCTGGTGCATCGGGAGTTCGGGTTGCCCTGCTGATGTAGAGCACCTGAATGCGCTTGAAGTCCTCTTCCGAGATGTCCTCGAGAAGGTCTTGGAAGGCCGCTCTGCTTTTGGGCTGGTGCCAGGCTTCCCATACTGTGGCCAGTTGAACGATGACTTTGGTTTGGGTGGTGGTGTGCTTGGCCAGGGCAACTACTCCCGCAAGCAGTGCTCTGGCCTTGGTTTGTGCTCCTTTGGCAACTCCGGTGATGGCTCCGAGCCTTTTGAGCTGTCCCAAGGACATGGTGTGCACGCATAGGCCGAACACCCACAGTTGTGTGCGCTCATCATAGGAGGATGGTGTGGCATCCAGGGTGTAGGCCCAGCCATTGTGAGGTTGGGGTGCTAAGGGTGCTAAGTCCGCCCAACATCCATGGCCCTGGTAGGGTTGGTCGTGGGTTCTGTGGTATTGCGGCTCCAGAGGAATCCATCCTGCTGACCACAGAGGATCTTCATCTTTTGAAGTGATTCGCTCCATCCATTCTGGCAGCATTGGCTCATGTTTCTGCGTTTTGTGCCACTTGCAGAGCCAAAGGATATGCTTGGGTGTGGCATCAACCTGACACAATGGGCACTTCTTGACCTTGGTGGCCTCACGGTATTGCACTGCTGCCTGTACCCATGTGTTGAGGTGCCGGGAGGGTTTTCTTCACCTCGTGATAGGTATGCCAGTCCAAGCCTGCAATGAGGTGGTGATGGTAGGGTCTGCTGGCCAGTCTGTTGATGCGTTGTGATTTGGCTTCTTGTCGCAGGGCTCTCTCCAACTTCCACCATGGTTGATGGAGGTCGAGCTCATTGCTCAACATGAGCGGGGTCTCTGGTCTGGTCCATCTCATGAGTGTGGCTGCCTGCCATCCCCATTCCTGGAGATATGTGATTGCTGCGGCCATGGGACCCCTGACTGTGTACCAGGGGTATTGTTTGGCTTGGAGCTGGTGGAAAGTGGTTTCCAGGCCTGTTCGAGAGCAGCGATTTGGTCGTGGGGCCAGGCCTGGATGAGGCGGTGGATGGCTTTGATGTGGTGGATGATGACTTGGTCGCCGGGATCGGTGTACTTCTTTTGGTGGAGATCGTATGTGCTGTCAAGCAGGCCTCCATTGTGATGTCCGAGGTGTTTGGCCATAGCCTGTCTGAGTGCAGTGCGGTATCTTGGTGCTAGCCCTTGACCCTCTACACCCCATAATGCTGCTGGCTGGATTCCTCCTCGATGGAGTCGGAGCCTGATCTTCAGGGCCGGGATTCGGAGGGTGCGGAGCTTCAAGTTTCTTTTGGAGGCCTTGGCCAGTCGTTGCTTCATGACGGGAATCCTCCTCCGCCTTGCACCTTGATGGTCAACTCCCAAATCCCGCATGACCAGTTCAACTGGTGGTTCATCAGGTTGGAGTAGAGCTCGGAGGGCCTTGTCGGTGCTCTTGTGGGTGGCTATGAAAGCCATCTTTTGTGGGTTGACCTTGAGGCCCAGTCCAACCAGTCTCTGGTGCAGGTCTCTGTAGGCGTCGACCGCCCGTTTGGCCACTGTCAAAGGTGTTGAACCTGCCGTGTCAAAACCGACATCGTCAACCCAGCTGGAGAGGTGGACATCCGGGTGGTTTGCCTTCCACGGTTGGAGCGCTGGTGCCAGCACCGCCTTGGCCAGTAAAGGTGCTTGGGGGCAACCAGCTGGGACTCCATTTTGGACGGTGAAGAACGGTGTCATTTCCTGCTCCGCCACGATTGCTTTGGGTCCAGTATAGAGCTGCATGGCCAGTTCTAACATCAGCGGAGGGTAGTTGAGCTGCATGGCCTCGTGCTGGAGCCGTGTGAGGTTGATGGTGTCATAGAAAGTGGACATGTCCATGAGGCAGGTGACGCCATGACAGCCATTGGCTCTGTGCACCTCTTGTCTCAACAGCCTTTCCAAGGCCACCTGCAGGACTTGGGCACCAGGACGTGCTCTGTCATGATCCATTGAGGCTGGGAGCTGTTGTTGCCACTGGTCGAGCAGGGGTTTCCTCAGTCGGCACCATACACGGTAGAGCAGAGAGGTGAGTGTGATTGGCCTCTCTTTGGTGCCTGATTTGGGGAGCATGATGACCATGTGCATCTGCTGCTGAGTCGGAAGTTGTGCCTGAAGCTCCATCTCCTGAAAGAGCTTGAGAAGAGGTGGTAATGCCAGTGGTGGGGCTGTCCGAAGGAGCTGGGCCGTGACTGCATCTGGTCCGCATGCTTTGTCTGGTAGGTTCTTGAGTGCCCAGGCAAGCTGACCAATGGTCAGGGGTTCAAGTTGTTGAGCTTGGTGCTTTGCAGCCTCTTGCAGGCTGGGTCTTTCATGAGGCTGGTCAGTTTGCCTAATTTGCCAAAGCTGTCCCCAGTCGTTGAGTCGTTGTGTCATTCTATCCTCTGGTGGAAGTTGGCGATAGGGACGCTCCCAGGCTAGTTCTCCTTGCTTGAGCCACTCTTTGTATTGGAGATGGCCTTCATCATTGGCTGCCTGTTGTGCTTCTTTGAGCTGGTGTGAAATGGTGTGCAGCACCAGCTCGGCGGCGTGGGGGTCTCTGTATTTCAACCAGTGATGACTGGTGTCCATCAGCTGTCCCCAGGTCGGTGGTCCGATCCAATGTTTGGGAGCATCTTGGAGGGCTTGCTTGAAACCTCGAACTGGGCCAAGTTGCATGGTCTTGGGTTGTTTTGTGGCCAACTGGAATCTGATTTTGAGCTGTTCCCAAAATGCAGGCTTGCCCTTCCGCCACGTGGTGGTGATTTTGGTGGGCACCAATGGCTTGATAGCCACTCTCAAGTTTGCTCCGCGTCCCTGAGCCGCCCATGCTCTTGGAGCAAGTACTGCTCGGTGCAGGACAGCCAGTCAGCCCAGTGCTTGGCTGATGCATTTGGTGGAATGCCATAAAGTTCAATCTCGAAGGCCTGAGATTGATACGAAGTCCACGGCCTGAAATCGATGTCTGGT